AAAAATCATAATTGCCAATATTAATAATTTCATGAGCTATAACCTATAATTTTTAACCATTTTTAATGGTTTCAACTTTTAGGCAAATAATTTACTGAAGGCCAAAATTCACGATTTGTTGAGATATAACCAATGAATTTTGGTCATTTTTAGTGGTTTTGGCCTATTAACAAATTATATCTAGGAAGCCAAAATTCACGATCCACGAGTTTGGGCCATCATTAATGGTTTTGACCCACTGGTAAATAATTTTTTGAAGGTCAATATTCATGATTTTATGAGCTATAACCCATGATTTATGGTCATAGTTCGTGATTTCCAAGCGGCCAAATTTCACATGAAATTATTTGCCTACGTGAGTTATGACGTACAACTTATTGCCATTTTCAGCGGTTTCGGCCCCTTGAAAAATAAATTTTCGAAGGCCAAAATTAATAATTTTATGAGCTAAACCCATGAGTTTTTACCATTTTTAGTAATTTCTACCTATATGCAAACATTTCTCAAAAGCCAAAATTCAAGATTTCGTAAGCAATAACCCACCATTTTTTATTATTATTAGTGATTTTGATCCGATGACAAATAATTTCACGAAGGCAAAAATTAATGATTTCATGAGCTACGACTCATGATTTTTGGTCATTTTTAGTGGTTTTGACTAGTAGACAAATAATATCCTAAAGGCTAAAATTACTAATTTCATGAGCTATAACCCTCGAACTTTTGCAATATTTTGGTTGTTTCAACATGTTGGCAAATAATTTTATCAACTGTAATTCATGATTTTATGAGCTATAATCAACATGATTTTTGGCCATTTTTAATGTTCCGATAGAGGCAAATAATTTTTTGAATGTCAAAATTCACAATTTCATGAGCTAACCAATGATTTTTGGCTATTTAGTGGTTTCGACTCATAAACAAATAATTCCCCATAAGCAAAAGCTGTAACTCACGTTTTTGGTCATTTTTAGTGATTTTGACCAATAGACAAATGTTTTCGTAGAAACTAAAATTCACGATTGCATGAGTTATAACCCACGATTTTTTGTCATTTCTAATGATTTCAATTTGTAGGCAAATAATATCCCAATGCCAAATTTCCTAATTTCATAAGCTATAATTCATGAATTTTTGCCATATTTTTTTGGTTTTAACTTGTTGGCAAATAATTTTGTGAGCTATAATTCGTGGTTTCATGAGCTATAATCTATAAGATTTATTGGCCATTATTAATGGCTTCCACAAGTAGGCAAATAATTTTTAGGTGCTAAAATTCATGATTTTATGAGCATAACCCACGATTTTTAGTCATTTATAATGATTTCAACTCGTAAGCAAATAGTTTTTTGGAAGCTAAAATTCACAACTTTATAAGCTATATCCCACTATTTCTAGCCATTTTAAGTGGCTCTGACCCGCCTTCTAAAGAATTTCGCAAATGCCAAAATTAATAGTTACATGAGCTATAACCTATGATTTTTTACCAATTCTAGTGGTTTTAACTTATAGGCAAATAATTTCCCGAAGGCAAAAATTCACAATTTTTAAGCTGTAACCAACGATTTTTGGCCATTTTTAGTAGTTTTGACCTATTGGCAAATTGTTTTCTGGAAGCCAAAATTCACAATTTTATGAGCTTAATCAAAAAAATTCGATCATTTTTAGTGGTTTCGACCAGCTGGCAAATAGTTTCTCGAATGCCAATATTCACGATTTCATAAGCTATAACTCATAATTTATTGCAATAGTTTGTGGTTTCAAATTGTTGCTAAATAATATAAAGGAGGCCAAATTTTAGTATTTTATGATATGTAACCCATAACTTTTTGGCATTTTGAGTGGCTACTACCTACAGGCAAATAATTTCCCAGAGGAAAGACTTCATGATTTTATAAGCCATAACCCAAGATTTTTTACCATTTTTAGTGGTTTCGGTCAGTAGGCAAATAATTTCCTAGAAGATAACATTCACAACTTCATAAGCTATAACCTATGATTTTTTGTCATTTTTAGTGCTTTCAACCATGTCTCCAAATAATTTCGCAAATGTCAAAATTCACAATTTCATGTACTATGACCCACAGTTTTTCTTTTTCATTTATAGTGGTTTCGACTCGTAAGAAAATAATATCTCGGGGGCCAAGTTTCTCAATTTTATGTACTATAATCCACAAGTGTTTACTATATTTTTTGATTTTAACCTATTAACAAATAATTTCGTAAACTGTAGTTTATGATTTCATGAGCTATAATCTGCGTGTTTTTGATCATTTTTAATGGTTTCCACGTGTAGGCAAATAATTTCTTTGAGGTTAAAATTCAAGATTTTATGTGTTATAACCCACAAATTTTGGCCATTTTTAGTGGTTTTGTTTTGAAGGCAAATAATTACTCTAAAGCTAAAATTCATTATTTCTGTCCATTTCTAGTGGTCTCAACCCCTTCCAAAATAATTTGGAAAAGGCCTAAATTTACAATTTATGAGCTATAACCCATGATTTTGACAATTTTAGTTGTTTCAAACTATATGCAATTTTATAGAGGCCAAAATTCCAAATTTATGAGCTATAACTCACGATTTTCAGCCATTTTTAGTGGTTTCGACCTAATTAGCAAATAATTTTTGGGAGGCCAAATTTCACGATTTCATGAATTATAATCCATGATTTTTTACCCTTTTTAGTGATTTTGACCCGTTGACAAATACTTTTCCAAAGGCCCGTAGTCGTTATTTTCAGAGCTTTAACCCATGATTGATGGCCATAGTTTGTGATTTCGACCCGTTGGCTAATAATTTCAAGGAGGAAAAAATTCTTGATTTCATGAGCTATAACCCCTAATTTTTTTGACATTTTAAGTGGCTTCGACCTATAGGTAAATAATTTCCTAAAGTGAAAACTTTATGATTTCATGAGCTATAACCCATGATTTTTGACAATTTTTTTATGGTTGGAACCAGATGGCAAATAGTTTCCTAAAATTCATAATTTCTTCACGAGCTATAATACATAATCTTTTGCCATTTTTAACGGTTTCGACATATTGGCAAATAATTTCTGGAAGGATAAAATTCGCGATTTCTTGACCTATACCAACAAATTTTGAGCATTTTCAATGCTTTTAACTTGTAGGCAAATAATTTTTTAGGAGCAAAAATACACATCTTTTTTAGGAGCTATAACAATTAACAATTAACAATCATGCAATTAATTGTTAAGAAAAATAAAAAAACAATTATGATTACCTTTACAATAGAAGAGTTATGCACCATTATGCCGGCGGCGAACAAAAGAAAAAAACAAAAACAAAAAAAGAACGACTGAAGAAAACAAGAAAGAGAGCAAGAAAAGAGTCGGTCTGAAGAAAAAAAAGATCAAAGAAAAAAAAATAGAACTGAAAAAAATACATGCTTGGACGACGACGGCGGAGTCGGCGACGGCGTCAGGCGGGATGTCAGGCGGGGTCGGCGAAGACGGTTGGCAGCTCTGGGTCGGGGAACGAAGAGATGGAGTTCAGCGTTTTTTTTATGAGAAAGAAGCTGGAAACCATAAGGGGAAAAGAGGTAAGAAGCAAATAAGCGGGTCTTCTTACCCGAAACTCGTTTGAAACTTACCACCCAGCTCAAATCGCCCCAGAAACTGAAGCGCGTCAAGGCGATGCGCCTTACGGGCGGCCCAGGAGTTCACGAGACGCGCTCCAGGCACGCGCCCCGCTAGCCTGCATCG